CACTTTCTGCTAGCTGGATTCCTCTTTCTCCCTCACGTGTCACCTTCCAAACCCTACCCCCTGCCCCAATCCCCTCCCGGCGCCACCACAATTTGCCTTTTGTAGAATTGCCGGAGATACAAAACCCCAGTGGTAGATTCTGTAACTCATTTTTTTTCTTTCTTTCTTGGAAGTTGATGAATTAAAGACAGAATTAATGCTGTCTTGTTTTGAGTTGCAGATTTTTCGGTTTTGTCTTCGTAGCAGTACAAAGTTGTACAATTAACCATAAGGTTTCTTCTAACCGTTAGATCTGAGGAGAGGGGTGTTTTTTGGCTTTATATTGATAATAAACCTCGTCCTCCGTCCCACTTGGACTCCTCACGTTCCACCTCACTAACTCTTCAGACCAGGTCAGTTTTCTCTCTCTCTCTCTCTTCGTTTTTCTCTCTCTACTGTTTTTACCCTTTTTACTATATTCGTATGAGCCACTGAAACGGAACCCTCCTTGGAGACAAATGGAATGTTACTTTATCCTAATTTTTAAGAATTGATGTGGATCTTCCCAATGTCATACGTCTGATTTAAATTAGGGAGAACAATTTTTTATATTTTTGTTAGTTCAAACGTTTTATTATGTGAAGGAAAGTAGAAAAGCATACAATTAGCAGGCATGGGAGAAAGTGGGAAATCAATCAATGCAATTTGTAAGGTCTTTTTCCTCTTTCGTATGAAGAAAATTCGGTTTAAGGATAGTTTCAGATGGAATTTGGATTCTGGAAACGACATTCTGCCACCTAAATTACTTGACCTTGGCGGGGATTATTTTAGTTTTAATAATATAAGGTTAAGATGCTCGAAAGACTTCTTTTGGAAAAATTGTTGGTTAAAAAAGCTATCATCAAAATTGTGATCATTCTTGTTGGAATGTGACCCAAATTGCTATTGGAATTAGGATTGTGGTTAATTGATAAAAGGAACAAAAGTCATCTTGATTTGGAAATCTAGTTGAGAAGGGATCAAAGTTCATAGTGATTGGAAGTTTGATTGGTAAAAGGAATTTGGATAATTGAAGACTTGGTTTTAGGATGTTGGACAACAAAATAGCGCCCAATTGCTTGGTTCGGGTCGCCTAGGCGCTCATAATGGAACAGTGAAATTTGGTCCGAGATGCAGCGCGTAGGTGCCATGGTCGCGGCACTCAAGCACCGCGATTGCCGCTCGCTTCCTACGAGAGCGGTAGAGTTATCCGGGCAGGACTCCTATTTTATTTCTGATTTGTTTCTTATATTGTATTTCATCTAAAACACTTATATTAAGTTATTATATATACTCCACGTAATGTATCATCTTCGTAATCTTATAAGAATATAGTAAAGCATTATATGGCATCGAGAGAACATTAAATTGAAAGCATCTAGTTGATAGAGAGAGACTCGTATATTTTGAGATAGGTCGAGTCTTGCGAGATCCTTTTGTACTTCTTTGCTATTGATCATAGTGAATTTTCTTCCTCTACCTGTGGTTTTCTGGATTTGGGTTTCAATGTAAATTTTTTATTCTTGTGTGATTCTTTTCATCTTATCATATTTTCTTGACTTTAATATCAATAACAAGTGGTATAAAAACTATCATCAGGATATTGCAAATTGGCTTGTTTTATAACAATTCTCAATAGTTGTATTCAATATCCTTTGAATAATTTCTTCGTTAGTTGACTATTACATCATCGTATCATTTTAACTAGGATAATTCAAGAGGAACTTGGCCTCCATCAAAATTTTGTAGCATTGACCAGAAATGAATTTACTCAATCTATTGATGAATTTATTTTTATTTATCGATAAATTAATAACCTTTCTAAAATAATAATTTTTCTTGAGATTTTATTATTTTATAGAGATTTTAATATATAGCCCCCATTTGGTAGAAATTAAAATTAGATTTTTAGTAGATTTTGATAAAAGTTGATGAAATGTGTGGTTGAAAGTAATGGGTCCCATGAAATGTGTGGTTAAAATTAATTGTTGACTTTGATTTGAAATTTTGATTAAATTTTAATCTAAACCAAACAGGGGCATACATATTTCATACATAAAGACTGAGACTAAGTTAGAATGGAAAATTGTCAATTTTAGCGACTAATATTATAGTTTAGGATGAATAGCAATTTCTCTATATTGATCCAGACCTATTATTTAGGAGAAGATCGTTTCTTTCTCAATCTATATTCGACATACTGCACAGTAAACTTCACTTTTTATTTACGTTCATTTTATGCCAGTTGAATCTTCACCTAAATTTTCTAATTTTCTGAGATTGGGAAAGTATTGATATATGCTCTCTAGTTAGTCTGTCCTATCCTCGCCGGCAAGCAGATTATTTTAGTTTTCTTAAATGAAATGCGTCATTCAGTACACTCTTTTACCCTACTTTTCCTGCTGCCCCCTTCCCCAATTCCCTCTATTTAAGGAAAGTTGGGGCTGTGGGGGGACTTGATTTGTTCGAGTTACAACTGTAGCATTGGGCTCTTCAATTCACTTGTGGCCTTTGTATTGTCTGATTAAGAACTTGTTTTATCTGCGTGACAATGGGAATTTGTCGTTATTGGAAAGACACATTTCCTCGTTGTTGCGTTTCATATAGAATAATTCTATATGGCATCACTGGTTCTACATAAGATTATTCAAATCTTTAATTGCACCACGCGTTCCATGCCTATCATTGACAATCATAAATTATTGCTCATGACATCATGAATCAGGATGTCTTCCTTCGTGGCTCTACATCTTCCACATCTTACATTGACTACAAAAACACTTGCTAGCACTCATAAGGAATAGAGAGGATATAAGAAGTTCCCTACCTTGTTTAGCAAAGGCATGAAGCATTTTGAAATGGAAATAGTAGTTAAATCAAATAGGTAGAAAACTAAGGAGTAATTACGAGGTCTTCAAAAAAATAAAAAGAGAAGAGTAGTGGAAAGAATGAATTCGAAAAGACCATGCCAGACTGAACCTATATTGGCAATATGTGTGAGAGTTCATTAATAATATATTAATCAAGTTACAAACAGACTGACAAAGGATATAACAGGCAGGGGTGGGGAGAAATAGGTCCTTTATTGAATTGCTACACAACTGTGGATTTCTATATTAAATGAATTTTGCAGTAACTGTGGTCATGTGGATGGAGATCTTTTCCAGGCTTTATGCCATTAGATACTCCTTAATGCTGCAGGCCTGATTTGTCGTAATATATTTGCGAGACATCTTGGATCAGTTGAGCATTCGCCGAGGCACCAATATAGATAATAAAGAAGCGACCTTTTTTAGTCATTTGACAGTAGAATTGTCACGCGTTTTCTACAACATAATTATACCGCAAGTGTACAGTGTCAAGTTTTGTAATATAATAATGGAATTAAGATATTGAATCCACAGGGATTGATATACAAATTAATTAATATAGGAGAGCCTAGCGTATGATTTTGCCTAACTATGAAATATGATTTTCAAAAACCTAGTTATCTCTAATCAATTTCCTATATTTATAAGCAAGGACCCTAATGTAATTCTACCCCCTTTCTCAAGTGCCGAGTAAAAATTAATCTTAAAAATTAATTTCAATATTTCTATTCCAAATTAAAATTAAAATTTATCAAGATCGTGGTTCTTAGATGGAAGAAGCTTCATAGATTCTACAATTTCTCTCGAAATCCATAAAATCTAGGTTGTGTTATTGTTATGATCGTGCCTAAATTCCTCTCTCGAGTGTTGGAATTAACTAGCATCTAATCATTCAATTAGTGGCCAATTATTGAAAGCATTAAATCAATAACACAAATAAATAGAAAGGAAAAATTCATAGAAATAACTAAAACAAAATTAAATCATATCCTCAAAACCCTAGAAGAATTATTTAGTTCATGATATGAGACATGAAATCTATACAATTCATAAAAAATAACATGAAGAGAAGAAAGATAAAACTATTTTTTGGATGGTTGAATCGATCTTCTTTGCTAAGTTGTCTTTGCCTCCCTTTTGATTTCTTGATTCTTGTCTCCTTTAATTCTTGCTTTTGATTCGATGAATTGTTGTTGAAAAGTGGTCTTTAGAGTTTTATTTATATAGTATTTTGAAGTTTTGGAAGGGTTGGGGTCAGATTGGGCAAAGAAAAGAGTCCAAAAAAATCAACTCTTTTTCTTGTCTAGGCGCCGCGTTGCTGTTGAAATTTAGCAACGGTGGTGTTGCGGCGCCCACTTTCGGGTGGAAAAATAGCACTACGCACGTTTCAATATTTTTATCATAACGTTTTCTCCCGATATCCGCTTGAGGTGATTCAAAATGCGTTGAAAAGATAACTTAAAGGGCTACAACTTTACTTCAGATGGATTTTTTTCAATTCGAACGTTTACTATATCAAAAATGGGTCTCAATCTCCAACTAAAAATTTGGAACATACTTGTACAGTTGAAAATTGATTTGTAAAGATATTTTGATCATATTTCACTCTTTTTTGACTTCTAATTGCACCCGATTGATTCCTAGCAATCTTCAATTATTGTTTTGTGGTTTGAATCAACTATTGGAAAGCTGCAATTTAGTCCTCAAACTTTAGATTTTACAATTTTTCATCGTTATTCATTTTTTTTCTTTCGATTTAGTCTCCAATCATCAAGTTTTACCTAATCAACATCAACTTCTCCTTGATTCTTGCCAAAATCATTATTTTCTCCAAGTTTCGCATCATTCACACCAATTCACATAACCTATAAAACAATACGAAAACAAAAATCAAGATGTTCCGAAACTCTAAGAATCAAACGAAATATCAAGATTAAGTAGTATTAATATGATGTGTGAAACAGTCATCAAGAATCTTGTACTCATTGAAAAGACACTGAATTTCTCTCATTTGATGTCAATCAGGTGCCTATCTTTTAATTGAGACTAAAAGATCTTATACTGAACAATTAAAGTGAGGGTAGACAATTGAGTCTGCAATCTGCTGCTCGAATGGGTACTGGGCACGAGGGCACCCCTGCAAAGTCTTCAACCCCTGCTACTTCTACTCAGGTTCACTCTTTTATTATTTTATATTTGCATCTTGAGGGCAATTACGGTTATATGGTCCTTTATCATATTTATGTCTCGGCTATTCCGCAAATGAAATTCAGCTCATCTGTTTTTATTTCCTTTTCTTTTCAATTGGATTTTCAGGAAGCACCAACTACACCTGCATATCCTGATTGGTCAAGCACTATGCAGGTTTCTGATGAAAGCTTTGGTTTTCATTTTTCTCTGATAATTAATTTTTGTGTTGGCTTACTTGAAACCCTTTCCTTTTCCAGGCTTTCTATGGTGCTGGAGCTACTCCACCTTTCTTTGCTTCAACAGTTACCTCTCCTACACCCCATCCCTACATGTGGGGAGGCCAGGTCATTATTCTAGAATTTTGATTTCTAGACCTACGCGTTTAGGACCTTTAGAGCATATAGAACACCTTACCATAATATTGCTCAATTGTTTTTCAGCATCCTCTGATGCCACCTTATGGGACTCCAGTTCCATATCCAGCTATATATGCTCCTGGGGGAGTCTATGTTCATCCCAATATGGCCACGGTAATTGAGATGCACAAAGTTTTGGTATTTAGTTGTTGGTGTCATTTTGTAAACTAAAGTTGATTACTGTAGTTTTTATGCTATTCTGTCAATGATTTGAACATGATATCCTTACGGTCTTTGAATCAAGCACCATTTCAGTAGATGTGGAAGCTCCAATTATATCGGTCTTTTATGCTTTCTTTACAGACTCCAGGCGCAGTACTTGGAACTCCAGACGCAGATGGAAAAACAACAGAGGCAAAGAGCCGAGTTTCGAGCAAAAAATCCAAGGGTACTTCAGGAAATCATGGGAAGACTGGAGATGGTGGGAAATCAGCTTCAGGCTCTGGAAATGATGTCGCAACACAAAGGTTCTTTTAGGCAGTTTACTGCTGGATTTATTATCTTATTCATCACAAACTTTCTCTGTTACCCTTTGGGCACGTATAGTGCACCATATAGGATTAAGGGGATAGGATTAGGAGGGGGAGGAATTGCTTTAAGGTGGATTATTTTAATACTGATGTTTGGTATTACATTGTATTAGAAAAACTTACAAGTATTAAAACTAAAAATACAAAAATTATTACAAATTTTTTTATTTATAAATAAATTTTCTTACATATACGTAAATTTTCTAATGAATATTTTGTTACTTGTAAGTGAATTATAACTTATAATTTTTATAATTATAAGTAACCTTCTTACATGTGTAGTATTCCTTATAAGTGATTTTTTTGTTAGAAGTTACTTTTGTTTACTTATATGTGATTTTTTACTTATAAGTTATTTTGTAGCTTATAAGTAATTTTTTTTTTACTCATGAGTAATTCCACTTATAACTTGAAGTGAAATGTTTAGTATTTATTTACTATTTTATTCTTAATTCATAAAACGGTGTATAAGTTACACAGTCAAAAGTATAAACCCTCAAATAGCGTATGACTTCGGTTGACTTCCGGTTATTACTTGTACCGAACACCGGATAAGGATTAAATGAATCCTTATCTGGTCTAATACAACACGCCAAACGTGCCATTAATATGTATTAATTGTATATTGTTAGATTTAGTGGCAATTTACTATCTTATTCATTGTAGATTTACTCTTTTCCATATTTTTGTGATTTTGTTGATTATCATAATGTATGATTGTAAACATTTGTTCACGAACAGCGCTGATAGCGGAAGTGAAGGTTCATCGGATGCAAGTGATGAGAATGATAACCAGGTTTGTTTCTCTGCTTTAGTGATCATAAAATCCTATTTCGCTCCATGTTCAAGAGTCTGACAAACCCCTGAAACTTGATTCTGGGACCTATGGTAGCAAATAGCTAACTCTTACATTGTCATGGCTCATTCAAGAAAGAGCAAATATGATATGTCACATTTCATATTAAAGCCAATCTGATTTGGTATTTTAGGAATTTTCTGCAACCAAGAAAGGAAGTTTTGACCTGATGCTTGCTGATGGTAAACATTTTTAACTGTCCGCCTTGTCCGTTCCTTGTGTTGTTCTCAGTCTGACCAGTCTGTTAATTTATCAGGAGCACATGCACAGAATTCTGGTCCGGTTAACTTCCAGAATTCAGTACCGGGGAATCCTGTAGTTTCTATGCCAGCAACTAATCTGAATATTGGCATGGACTTATGGAATGCATCGTCTGCTGGTTCTGGGTCTATGAAATTGCGACCCAGTCAGCCTGGTGTTTCGCCAACTGTGGCTCCATCTCCATCTGGCATGATGAATGATCACTGGATTCAAGTATGTTAACTTGCCTTTTAATGTTTCCATATCATAAAGGCTTATTTTTTGGTTAATTGTTTTCATGGTGTGCCTGTTGTACGAACTGTATATGATTTCGATTCAGTGGAGAAATTTGGTAACCTTATTTTGATTCTACTTGGTGAATGCTGAAGCTGTAACCCACTGTTTCCGTTACCAAAGGATTGTGTGAGTTAATAAATTTGTTCCTAAAAATAACTGCCAGGGGTTTTCTCGGCGGTGGTTTGGCATTTGGCTCAACTCTTCGAACTAATGATTTTATTCCACTGCTGGTTCTCTGTCCGAATTTTCTTCTCCTCCATGGATATCCATGTCATTTATGTACAAAAGTTATGATAAATAACAATCATGGAGTTCTCTAATTTCCACTTTTAGGCATTTCGAAAACCAACTGTTGCACTTCCATTTATTACTCCCTCCCGAAAAATACAGAATAAAAAGGGGGAAAAACGCAAAGATTACCTAGAAACAAGTTTGTTTGGCAAAATACGCATACCAAATCTCAATTAGATTTTGAACTTCAATTTTACAGGATGAACGAGAACTAAAAAGACAAAAGAGAAAGCAATCTAATCGGGAGTCTGCTCGGAGATCAAGATTACGGAAACAGGTTTGCTTCGCTTTCCATTTTTCAATGTCATTTTGATGTTCCCTCAATAAAGTCTTCTCTTATGGTGTGTTAATATATGCATGTGCTCCCTCCTTCCCCGAGTATTGTTACTTGTAATTGTGAGTGGATTTTTTTGGAATAGTAGTCAAGTATAACTAGCTAATCATTGGTTATCTCAACTAAGAATCTTTTTTCTATTGTTATTTCAACTTAGAAAATGGATAAAAAATAAATTGAAGCAAAAATTCTTGTTTGAAGGCATAATATTTGGCTGAGCCCAAGTTGGCACGCTATTATTTAACTTAATATTAGTACATGCTTTAGTAGATTGCATAATTTGGCTGAACCTAGTCTACTGGAAGCAAGGTTTAGCTGTTTCTTGTTTTGTATTAGAGATGGCATAATATTGAAATTACTTTCTAATTTCTATTATTGCGGGAAATTGTAGTGGCCATAGGATCAAACTAGTTCCCATGGGTCGCCTACGATCTCGTGGTTACCATTGTAGGCTTGTAGCAACGAGGTGGTAGAATTATATGTGTTTTAGTAAGAAGAGAGAAGATTTTGGAACTGCAGCGTAAGGAAAGAGAAGTTTTACTTTTAAACGTAGACTTGAGACATGCCCTTGAGCTTTCTTGGACGTCTTCATCCTCGTAAAGTGCCTGACGATGATGCTAGTATCTGCCTTTATGCTTCAATATTCGCAGCCTTATCTTCATTCTCTTGAAGTAATTTGATTGTTATCGTTTTATGTAATTATGTAGCCATTCATACTGTTGACACTTTTTGCAGGCTGAGTGTGAACAGCTACAACACAGGGTAGAGACTTTGAGTGGCGAGAATCGTACACTAAGAGATGAGCTGCAGAGGCTATCAGAGGAATGTGAGAAGCTCACATCTGAGAATGACTCCATAAAGGTATTTCAAGAAATCTAATCTAAATTATAAAATTTAACCCCCAAAATAAAAGCAGCAGCAATTTGTTCTTTGTATATCATTCTTGAAACTTGAGGGGAAATTGCATTTGAAAATTCTGCTGGTTGATCATACTGGAGTAAATAAACAATTATGCAGAAGTTGGAAAAATTGCTCTTAAGGTGTCTTTTACTGATCTAATACCCCCATCACAATGCACACACAAGAAATAGAGTCTAATCACTTAGATTTTGTTGCTGATACAGGAAGAATTAACGAGGGTGTGTGGGCCTGAGGCGGTATCTAAACTGGAGAACAGCAACTCAGTTAATCATATTCAGTCTCGTGGCGATGAAGGTAACTGTTAGAGCAGGATGCTAGAGTAGATTATGCTGTTTACAGCTCGGAGAGTTTCTTGACTTAAAGCTCAATCAAGTAAAGGATGTATTTTTGCTGAGTTCCTAAGAAATTCGTGGCTTTAGACTTGAGAAAGTTTGTTCCTTGTGTACCTATCTATACCAAATAACCCCATTAGCTGTAACATCAATCTGTGTTCAGTCCAATGTCGTTAAATATCAAAATATAAATAATCGAGATTGTGAGCTTGTTTAGTATGGAATTACCAGTTACCAGTTTGAATGTCTAACTAAACAACAAATTCGTCGAAAGTATGAATTCAAGAAACATAATATGAAAGACTAATCGGATTAACTGTGTTGAAGCTTCGAACACAACTTCGAGCAGACTTCAAGAGTTGGGACACCAGCAATTTTTAATTTTTTCCCAATATACTGTAATCGATATAGACAAGAAAACATTCAGGTATTTGATGGGAAAACTACCATTTTAGATTCGAATTTCTTCTTTTCCTGTATAAATTACACAAATACATAAACTTAAAGCGGTCAGAAACATACCCATTCCTAACCCCACTTAATTACCCCAATTAAACCCTTGTAGGAAGATTATTATTACAGCTAATTGTTGTATTACTTATTTCCTAATACCTCCAAGCTGATGTGGCAACAAGTGGCCTATTGTGCCAGCAAAGCAGTATCTCCTCCTGCTGTTTTGCCACGTGGAATCCTCTGACTTTTGCTTCCCTTAGTAAACACTCAGCTTGAAAGTCAGCAAGCTGACTCAGCCCCACCTGCCTCAATCCTGCTGCTACAAGCGCCTCCCTCCACGGCTTTCTGCCGTAGCCGGCCGCCTCCACTGCCTCCAAAATCTTGGGAAGAAACACGAAAGTCTCGATCTTTCTTATCCAATCGTCACCTCCACCAACACCACCGCTGTTTACGTTTGCAGCCTCAAGTGACTCGAATAAAGTGGAATAAAAATCTAGACCATCAATCACAGCTTGGTGATACGACGGCGCTTCGAATCCCATCTGCACTTCACTCTCCACGTGCACCACCACAAGCGGTGAAATTCCGCGGAGATCATTGAGAAATCCTGTCCCGACATGCTGGAATATTGCTGGAGATAAAAGAACCGCAACATTTTCCCCGTCCATCAATTTGATGGCCTTGAAAGATAAGTACTCAAAGGTACTTATCGAAACAAAGTCAATATGGAGCATAATATTCAGCTCACGTGCAAACTGGGACAAATTCTCTCTGATCAGCCTTGATTCCGTTGCATACTCTTCAGGAACTATAGCTGTAATTCGAAGCAGAGCTGGGATAGCTTTACCCGACTCAGCTTTATTAGCTAGCTCTTTCAAGAACGGAGCCCAGTGGCTGCCAAGCCCAATATCAAAGTCAATGATGTGGACATGAATGCAGCCCTCTAAGGCTTCAAGCACGGCTTGGTTAACCGTAAAGCTTGAGAACATGGGAATTGGGGAGATGCCTGAGAACATTTTCTGCGCTTTGATGGTCTGGATGATCTCTGAAGAGCTGGCAGGGTGAGTCTGTCGAGTCAACCCGGAGAGTAGGGATTGGAGGGCTTCTTTGAAGTAGAAGGCAGCTCTCTGGAGGGGCTTTCCGGTGGGAGACCTCAGCTGTTGATTGAGACGTGCCAATGATACCTGCCCGACTTGTAGCGAGTTTGTCTCCAAGCACTCAGCAAGTCGGATTAACTCATCTACGAATCTCACATTCGAGTTATTGTTATTCAAATTTTGGATTTCTCCAGATAGGTCAAATGGGTGGATGATATTATTGCTATGACTCAAAGGTGCAGTAGTGATGATATCAGAGAGAGGACTAAAATCAGATGGCTCAACCCGAGTTGATGAATCAAAGGAGCTTACAGGTGTGAACTCAGGGATGGATGCATACTGCTGATCACAGAGAGTACCGAGTTGAGAAGCAGGTTTTGAAACAGGGATCAAATCGTCATCCAAACCCAAATCCCAATCCTCAAAGTGGTGGTTCAGCGCATGATCTCCCAGTTGAAGAGGATCGTCAAGAATTGTTGAAATACCAGCTGTGGTACAATTCGATATGGCCTTTTTGGCAACAGGAATCGGGCTTCCGTAGAGTTCAAGAACCGGTTTTGGCTCGTAGGGAGAGGTAGTGGGCGCGGTGTTGCCCGGAGAAGTGGTGGTCCAAGTTGTCGTAACCACCGGTTTCGAGTTCAATGATTGGTTCTTGTGATTATTTCCAGAAAAGGGTACTTTCATTTCTCCAAAAGCAGAAAAAGAAGACGAACGAAACCCTAATCTAGGAAGTTAAGAGTACTTCTCTCTTACAATACAAAGTTTTTGTTGATCTTTCAATGGTTTTATGTTTTTCGTATGGTAGAAGTTGAAAATGAAAGGGGCCTTTTTGCGGGTGATAATTCTTGGCTTTTTATCTTTGAATGTGCATGGGTCGTATAAAGTATTTGTGGGGGTGGGGGTGGGGGTGGGCGTGGGGTATGAGATGGCACGTGTGAATGAAATGAAGTTTGTCCAGAAATGATGCTTGTCCAAAATTCAATAAAATATTGTCACGAGACATTCCTAATAACCTATCTATTCATTATTCATGTAATGTTGCATCGCTCAAAGTCTAAGTACAGGGAGAAAATACAAGTAGGGCACACACAAGTCAGAAGATTAGAGAATTGATTGATACATCTCTTGGAAGCTTCTTGTTGAAGGCTTAGAATCAACACTTTGTTGGGCTACTTTCTTGGATTCTTGATCGATCAGCTTCCTTTAATTGTTGCCTGATTTGATTTTCTTGCATCAAGTGGATTTTTAGTGATTCACCTTATTACCCTTTTCTTATCTTAATTATTCCGATCTTGGAACAATTATTGAATCATTCTCCTCCATTGTACTAATTTCGAGGTTTATTTCCCGTTGAAAGGACTTGGTCTAATATTGTATAGCAAATATGCTCTGCATGTACAAAATTCAAGAAATTTTTTAGTATGTGAAATGGAAAGAAGAGATTACTTTCCCGTAAGCTCAATATTTGAAGAAAGGCCTATTAGATATTTATACAATAAATATAATATGTGAAAAAAATAATTTATTAAAATGAAGTGTCCAACTGGTGAAAAGTGTGGAATTTGTGTGGGAGGTCAGGTGTTCGAGCCACGCCTCACGCACTATATTAAAAAGTTTTTGATTG